CATACCTCCCATGCATACATGGTCAAGATCATATAAAATACACAAAATTAAAAAATAAACCCTTTTTCTCCCCATTTGTTTTTCCCCCAAGATCCCGAAAAGGCTCGAGAGATCGAAACGAAATTAAAAATAAATAAATAAATAAAATAAAAATTTATTATTGCACATTATCTTCTGATCTCCTAAGCTTGTTCAAAAGGGCTGTAATAAGAGCATCCCTTTTGTCAGCCCTAGCTTCTTCCCTAATCTTCCTTTGTTCTTCTCTCTCTCTCCATCTTCTATCCATCATTATCCTCTCATTCTCCAATGCCTCCATTGTTTGCCTCCACTCCATTTCTTTCACTCGTCTCTCTTCTTCTCTCATTTCGTACGCTTTCAACCACTGCGTTTCCATTTGCATTTGTTGCTTCATGTACTCCTCCATTATCTCCTTTACCCCGTTTATTACGGCCGCCGCCGCCGAGTTTATTCCCGTTGTTGATGACTGCGGATTATTATGAATAGTTCCCTTTAATTTTCTTTTCTTTTTTGCCTTTTCTCCTTCGCTTATTTGATCTTCGTTCTCTTCTTCGTCGTCGGAGGAGAATTGCGCGGTTGTTTTTTTCTTGGAGCTGCTGGCGGCGGCGGCACCACCACCACCGCCGCCGCCTTCCGCCTCGAGCCATAGCATTCTTTGCATTCGTGCTGCGAATATTGTTTGCAGCTCGTTGTAGAATGGGAACTGTTGCCTCATTCCTTCTGCCTCCATTGTTTCACATCCCTAAAAATACATATGCAATATATATAATACATATCATATAAAAAATTAATGGTTTAACTTACATGTTTGTAAAATAATTTGGTTGATAATCTTTATAATATTTTAACTCGTGTTATTGAAATCATGTATACAAACTACGCACACACACACAAATTAAAGAGAGAGAAATCTATGTAAACAAAAAAAAGACATACACACGTATGTGTGTGTGTGTGTTCGTGTGTGAACGTGTGTGTGAAAGAAAAAAAGTTAATCCACCACACATTAAATTATGATAATCTAATTAGAAATATATATATACTCGTGTTTCTGCAGATAGGGTAGATGAATCGACTCAACACGCTAAAAACAATTAATTAATCATAATTTCATAAGTACTAATTAAATAAAAAAATCAAGCAATTATAAATATTATTAGCAGCGTATAAATATAAGAATTTCCAGATTAATTTATGTGTGTGTGTGTGTGTATATGTATATACCTTGAATCGGGTGACAAGGTTCTTCCACTTGCACTTGCACTGGTCGGGGCTCCGGATGTAACCCTTTTCCTTCATCCGGGTCGAAATAACTTCCCACAGAAGCTTGTTACGTTTGGTTTCCATGAAAGCCGGGTCGAGTTCGGCCCGAATAATCAAGAAATCCCGGGTTTCCTGTATGCTCCATTGAGGAAACCTATCTCCCCCACCCGGATCAATATTACTCACCGAGAAATGGTGATGCACCTGCCCCTGATGATGATGATGATGCCCCTGATCCATTTCTTTTCATATAATATATTATTTCTCCGATTTTAGAGAGAGAGAGAGAGAGAGAGATTTAAGAGAGAGAGAGAAAAAGGGTTTTGTTGTGGTGGTGATATATATTATATGTAAAAAGGGTGGTGTGAAAATATGGTGTGAAAAACTGGAAAAAAAAAAAAAGAAAATCTGTTCTTTTCCAAAGGAAAAAAGAAAAAAAAAAGAAGGGCATATTACAAATAAGCCCATCAGTGGGAACTTATTCATAAAGAGATCCAGACAATATTCTCCTTTACCAATAAGTCCACACATGGTCCAGATTTATGTAAAGGACTAAAATAACCCCTCTTACTTTAATATGCTCCAATTTCATCCTTAACTTACTTTAACTTCAATTTGACCCCAACTTTCACAAATTATTTCTATTTTTGACCCCAAAACTTTTTTTTTTTTTTCACAAAAATTTTTTTTTTTTTCAAAATTTTTTTTTTCCCCCGATTTTGGGGTTTTCCCGGGGGTAAACCCGGTTTTCGGGGGTGAACCTTTAATATTTTTTTTAAAATTTTTTTTAAATTTTTTTTTAAATTTTTTTTTTTTCCGGGATTTTTTTTCGGGTTTCGGGGTTGGCCGGGGGTTAAACCCCGTTTTCGGGGGGGAACTTTAAATTTTTTTTTTTTTTTTTTTTTTTTTTTTTTTTTTTTTCCCCCCGGATTTTTTTTCCGGATTTCGGGGTTGACCGGCGGTCAACCCCGGTTTCCGGGGTTGACTTTTTAAATTTAAATTTTTTTTTTTTTTTTTTTTTTTTTTTTTTTTTTTTTTTTCTGTAACTTTTTTTTCCGTTTAAACAGCAATATTGCTGTGAATGACAGTAATATTAACTATATTACTGTTAAACACAGTAAAATTAACTAAACTATAGTTTAACACAGTGATATTGCTATATTAATCTCTAGCACATTAATATTAACACAACAAAATTCATTATCATTGTATAATAAAGTAATATTACTATGTTGTCCGTTCAACAAATGTAAACAAAATAAAAAAAACCAAAAGAATTAATATTACTGTGAGTGACAGTAATATTACTATAGCAACAGTAATATTACTATAGCAACAGTAATATTACAATAGTAGACAGTAATATTATTACGTTACTCCGTGAATAACTCAAACAAACAAAATATCCAAACAAAAGAATAATATTGATGTGGTTGACAGGAATATTACTATAACAAACAGTAATATTACCGTCAACCACAGTAATATTATTGTGTTTACAGAGTAATATTACAATAATAGACAGTAATATTAATACAAACACCACAAAAAAATAATAATATTGATGTTGTTGACAGTAATATTATTGTGTTTACAGTTATTTTACTGTCAACGACAGTAATATAATTACGTTGACTTGTCAACAAATCAAAAAAAAATAGAAAAAAATAATAATAAATAAAAAAATATAATATTGCATTAATTTACTGTCAACGGCAACACAATTACATAAATGTAATGTCAACGGCAGTACAATTACGTTAATTAACTATCATTGACAGTATAATTACGTTAATTTACTGTCAGTGACAGCACAATTACGGTTAACGTTTAGCGGCGGACGTGGAAAAACAAAACAAACCAAACAAAACAAAACAAAAAACTTAAAAAAACACTAAAAAAAGAGACCGCCGGAAACCGGCGAAAAAATCCGGAAGAAAAGAAAAGAAAAAAAAAGAAAAAGCAAAAAAAAAAAAAAAAAAAAAAAAAAAAAAAATCAACGCCGGAGACCGGCGTTGACCGCCGGTCAACGCTGGAAACCGGCGAAAAATCCGGAAGAAAGAAAACAAA